TGGTCGAGGGTCTTCGCCGTCTACACCCCTGACCTCTGCTTCTTAAAGACTCTCAAAGTGTAATGAAAAGGAGGCGAGCGTATTTCCAAAAGCAATGCAAGGAAACCTGTTAAAGGCTTTGATTGATTTTTCTCTTAATATCACTTAATAACAGAAGGTAAATGCAATCTGTTCATCTTTTTTATAGTTTTATTTGTTTCCTCCTAAATGAATTTACACAATGAAGCAATATTTCGATCAAAGCAGCAGGGCGCAGTCGGCTTCAAAGTGGCGGAGCAGGCCACATGATCTTATAGTAAAGTTTTGCTGTGTCGCCATCAGGATTAACAGGGTTTGACCCACTTAGTTTTATTGGCGCGTGGAAACAGATGCCTCTGCGCTCAGATGGTCGTTATGAAGAGGCTAGATTCATTTTTTCTGCTACAAACATTTGGAGGTGTGCAATCTTTAGGGCCGCATGTTTTCCATTTACACCTGTAGTGGTTGAAGAAAAGGTCTTTAAAATGAAACTAGTGGTTCTCATAGTTTGCTTCAGGACCCTAAATTTAAATTGCAGTCTAACACAGCACCAATATATATATATATATATATATATATATATATATATATATATATATAAACTAAAATGACACCAAACGCTAAAATTAGTAAACAAAAGACAGAGTACTCTTGACATTTCAATATTTTATATGTTATGTTATGTTGTATGTTATATATATATATAAATTGAACAAAATATTATTTATATATAAAATATTTATATTTATGTATATAATATAAATTATATAAATCTATATACAGTATATACATAAAAATATTTCTTAAATATACAAGCATGTGTGTGTATTTATATATATAAAATAATTATACACAGTGCACCCACCTATATTATGTAAACACAAACTTTTATTTTGGATGCAATTAATCGCGATTAGTCATTTGACAGCCCTAATTTTATGCCATTCTCTTACTATGCACAATTTTATAGTTAGTTGCATTTTATTGTTTGGATTTAGCATATTTTTTCCCCCCTTGGTATGTTTACCCTTCTTGCTTTTCCATTTTTTGGATCACAACCCGCCAGTTGAGATCAACTGGTTTTTACTGCAATATTCATTGCAGTGGAATGGTATGTAAACCTAGAGGAATGCATGTATGCCCTGTTGCGAGGAAATCTCAGATAACGCTTTCATATCCTTCCATTAGCTTCTTTTATTAAGGCCGAACCCCCTTCTTGGTAACTTTATAAACCTTTTCATATGTTACGGTTAAGTACACTGAAGTAAAGTTCCATTTTCGTCCCATTACGCTGTCTGTGCGAGAGATAAATTGTATGGATGACAGCATGACAATGGAACCTATTCTTTGGAACCAAGAAAAAAAAAATCTGAAACCTAAAAAGAAACAGGCCTACTTAAAGAGGACGTAATTAGACATGGTCTGTTCAGCAGAAAGTTGTTGCTGCCTGCAGATCCTGCAGATATGAGCTATATTCCAGTGTCGCAGAGCAGGTATTCCCTGTGATCTATGCTCGCCTTTATTGGGTCAAGCTTGGGGAAATGAAGCCAAACAATGTGAAGGAAGCATTCAGTGAATTTTCTCAGCATGCTGTACGGTCAGTCAGAAGTGCATGATCCAGGGCTCTGCCAAATACAAATGCATCTGTTCCCCAGATTCCCTGTATAACGGGACTGGTCTGTTATCCCATGCCAGGTCACAGGCAAAGCTCTTGCTTTACTCTTTACTTTTATAAGCGAATAATGCAAGCAAGTCTGCTTGGCAAATAAATTGTAATGCTTTAGTGTTGTGACGCATTAAAATGGAATTGCAATCTAAATTACAACATTTCGAATTGCAACTTGCGTAAGATGTTTATTTGAAGGAAGAGCTGTGGTTAGGGCTGTACTTTTTTTGTCTTGTATCCTAGGCTGTGCACACTGAACCCGATTTTTCAAATCCAATCTTCAGGGTTGTCAATTTGAGTTGTCAGTGCCAATACCAATAAAATTTTGCGGTTCTGAGTATCAATTTTGGTACCAGAGAAAAAATGTTGGACTAAATTAATAATTGAATCCCGTTTTTAACAAGAAGAATCTTATGTTCACCAGGGCTGCATTTATTTGATCAAACACACAGTAAGGCAGTAATAATTTATATTCTTATTTTATAGCTTTATATTCTTATTTAGTATATTTTATGTACTCTATTAATATATTGTAAAAGGTCATTTACTGTATTCCTGTGATGGCAAAGCTTTTTCAGCATCGTTACTCCAGTCTTCAGAGTCACATGACCCTTAAGAAATCATTCTAATATGATGATCTCTTATTATTGATGCTCAATTATATAATAATAACAATATTAGTGTTAAAAAAAGTTTTGCTGCTTAATATTATTGTGGAAAACGTAATACATTTTTTTAAAAGATTTTTTTTTAAAGAACAGAAAGTTCAAATGATGATTTATTTGTTTTAGAAGGAAGTCTTTTGTAACTTTGTAAATGTATTTAATACGGAAGCCCTGAACTGCAACCTAAAAAAAAAAAAAAAAAATCTGTAAAAAAAAAAAAAAAATCTGTAAAAAAAAAAAAAAATCTGTAAAAAAAAAAAATCTGTAAAAAAAAAAAATCTAGCATTTCGAGATTAAAGTCGAAATGTTTCGAGATTAAAGTCGAAATGTTTCGAGAGTAAAGTCGGAATGTTTCGAGATTAAAGTCGGAATGTTTCGAGATTAAAGTCGAAATGTTTCGAGATTAAAGTCGAAACATTGTGCATTCATAACAGTGCGCGTCCACTGGCTCAGAGCGCGCGCGTGTGTGTGTGTGTGTGTGTATGTGTGAAGTCGAACTGCCATGGATAAACCCAAAATAGTAGCTATTTACTTTTATCTGGGCTTTCAACAAAATTCTACACACGTCACACGTGCTAGTGGCAGTGTTTCTGAGGTGTTTTCGTGCTCGTCTAGTCAACACTATCTGGGTCGAGAACACAACAGTAACTGTTCGGTCTCCCTCTTCAACGTAAATACGCTCTGGATACATTTTAAGTGCATCATTCTGTATCCAATCATTTGGCCAGATCCTGTGATTTCCTAAGATTTAATAACCACTTATGGTTGAGGAGAGATTCTCTGATATGATTGTAAAGCACTTCGAGTGTAGGCATATATGAAAGCGCTATATAAATGCCCTATTCATTCATTCATTCATTCATTCATAAAGCTGGATTTCTCCATCCAGTCTGAAAAGTGTTTTCCGTGTTGGTTTTCCTATAGGCTAAAGTCTATTCCGGCGCATTATATTTTATAACGATAAAGTAAGATAAGTAATTCAGATAAAAGTAAAAAGCTACTATTTTGTGTTTATCCATGGCAGTTCGACTTCACGCGCGCGCGCTCTGAGCCAGTGGACGCGCACTGTTATGAATGCACAATGTTTCGACTTTAATCTCGAAACATTTCGACTTTAATCTCGAAACATTCCGACTTTAATCCCGAAACATTTCGACTTTAATCTCGAAACATTTCGACTTTAATCTCGAAACATTTCGACTTTAATCTCGAAATGCTAGATTTTTTTTTTTTTTTTTTTACAGATTTTTTTTTTTTTACAGATTTTTTTTTTTTTTTTTTACTGACTTTTTTTTTTTTAGGTTGCGGTTCAGGGCTTCCGTAATTTAATGTCACTTTTGATTAATTTAATATCATTGCTGAATATAAGAATAAAAAAAAAAAAAAAAAAAAAAAAAAAAACTTGCCACAGTTTTAAATAAAAATATTAAGCAGCAAAAACATTGGTAATAATAATAAATTGTTCTTGAGCACCTAATTAGCATATGAAAATGATGTCTGAAGACTCATCAGATCATGTCACTGAAGACTGGAGTAAAGATGCTGAATAAGGAATAAGTTACACTTTAAAATATATTTAAAGGGTTAGTTCACCCAAAATGCAAATTCTGTCAGTAATGACTCACCCTCATGTTGTTCCAAACCCGTAAGACCTTCGTTCATCTTCGGAACACAGATTAAGATATTTTTGATGAAATCTGAGAGCTGGATCACTCCTCCATACTAGTCCATAGGCTTCTTGAGGAATTGAAACTTGCCGGCCTCGAAAAGTTATTAAAGACATCGTTAAAATAGTCCAATGTTTACAGTGGCTCAATATTAACTTTATCAAACGACGGCAACAAAAATGGCGACTTTATTTCAACTATTGATTTACTTCTCTCTCTGCCTCGAGTCAGGCTACTAGTTTAATAGCGTAATCTTCTGTTATTGTACGTCACACGCATCACACACATGACCAGTGTCAGCCAATAGCCTGTGAGTGACATGGCCCTACGCTACACACTACGTTAACTGACTAGAGGCGCATAGCTAAGGAAGTGAATAGTTGAAATAAAGTCGTTATTTTTGTTTGTTTTTGCGCACAAAAAGTGTTCTCATCGTTTGATAAAGTTAAAATTCAGCCATTGAAGTCACTTGGACTATTTTAAAAATGTCTTTAATAATTTTTCCAGGCCGGCAAGTTTCAATTCCTCAAGAAGCCTATGGATTAGCATGGAGGACTTAAAAATAATATATCTTAATTTGTGTTCCGAAGATGAACGAAGGTCTTACGGGGTTGGAACAACACGATGAGGCTGATTAATTACTGAAAGAATTTTCATTTTTGGGTCAATTTTCCCTTTAAGTAGAAAGTTAGGGTTAGGGTGCAAATATCATGAATCATGAGTTGATAAATTTTACATTTTTGGGGAAATCACAAGGTCAAATGATCAGATATTTTAAGAGACTATAAGCTTGACACCCAGCAATGGGGTTCCTTTCAATGCTATGTTTTGTTTCCCACCCTTTTTATATTGGTTGTTTAGTATAATCACGTAGTTTGGCGGCCGCAATTTGGTTTTCATTTGATTAAGAATTTAAGCATGTTTGCCTTCACACACTATCACCACACCTGTGTCCTTCCTCATTTTGCATTTGTTTCTTGACAGGATGAAGTTATCGCCGTCTCAGAGAAAGTCATTGTGAAGTTGGAGGATCTGGTGAAATGGACAGTGGCGGATTTGTGGAGTTGGAAGAAGGGTCTGCGGGCCATACCCCTGAAACCCACCGTGCTAAAGGAGCTCGGCAAGAACGGCCAGAGAGAAGCGCTGCACAGATACAGAGAGTCCACGCTCAACAGCGGCCTCAACTTCAAGGACGTCCTCAAAGAGAAGGCTGAACTCGGTATGCAGCACGATTTCTCACACCTCACAGTTCACATACATGAGACGTACCGGTTAGTGGTGTTTCTGATCAGCAATTCTGATTCCATAGGCTTGATGATTTTAATTATGGCTCTTTTCCTCTTGAAAGAACACGGGGAGAGAGATTGGCGTACATCTAAAGACCTGCTGTGAACGCTTAATTGCACAAATCTCAAACTCTCATTCAAGATTGTAATAATGTTTTTGTGAGAAGTCTTCAAGGCTGCATTTATTTGATTAGTAAAAACAATAATATTGTGAAATATTATTACAATTTAAAAGTCAAATTTTTCTATTTAAATATATTTTATGAATTTTATTTCCTGCGACGATAATCCTGAATTTTCAGCATCATTACGCCAGTCTTCAGTGTCACATGATCCTTCAGACATCATTCTAATATGCTGATTTGGTGCTCAAGAAACATTTTTTTTAATTATTATCAAGTTTTTTGTGTGTGGAAACTGTGATTCTCTATCATTCAAAAGTTTGAGGGAAGTAAAAAAGTATATTTTTTACTCAGCAAGGACACATTGTATTGATCAAAATATTAACCAGCGAAAACTGTTCAACTCTGATAATGAGAACCATTATTAATAATTGATGATAATTGATTTTCAATCGAATAAATGCAAGCTTGAAGAGCATAACAGACTTCAAAAACATCCCAAAAAGTGTACGTGTTCAAGTAACATTTGAGAAAATAACGTGTTATTTGCCGTGACTAACTGCCTGCAGGCTTTGATAATAACACGACTTGAATGTTTCTTTTTACGAGCGTCAAACCTATGTTTTTTTTTACAGCGAGTAGAAACTTAAGCGATTGTACAAGACACAACAAGAAAGTGTTTGAGAATGACACTTGTTTAAACAGGCAGGGTGTCGCCCCTGTATTCATCTCCCTCTGTGCTTTTCCCTTCTCGGCTTGTTTGTGTCTCTCATTAACTGGGAACAATATGGTGTATAAATGCTCATTAATGTGCAGACGGATCACGCCCAGCGTGATTACGCTTCCTGTGTGATTGCTCAGAAGAATCGGATTTATCAAAGCATTATACGTTTCATTTCAGCTCAATTTTGTCAATCATAAACCTTTATAAAAACAAAACATTTGCTCATACTTTATATACTTTATGTATTATAAACAGAAATTATTGTGTGTGTGATTTGATAGGTTAACAAAACGGGGTCAAACTCCATTTTGTGTTATGAATAGCATATGTTTCTTTTATTAGCTGTTGACAGTGATATCACATGATTTGTTATATTCGCAACCTTTGTAATCCAAGAGTTGTGGCTTGTGTGCCATATAAATATGTCAATTTTGGTTTTGGCCTGGTGATTCACAGTGGTTTTGCTGGTGATTTAAAATTCGGCCATACTGTGAATATCATAAAGATTTTAATGCAATTTTTATAAAGTGTTATTAGATTCTTTTTTTCAGTGTTAATTAAGAAAATAGCTTGAAGTGAAACAGGAGATTTGGGCAGAATAGTATTTAAGGACTTGTGCCTTTTAAATAGGCTTTAGTTTGGGTATTTGATTGGACAAACATTTGGTTACGCCCCTGAGTGCAGGACGAGTCATCACTATTTTTGGTCTGTTTCCCCAGAATAGAAAAGGCCTAAATTTTGAATGTTTTTTTCTTTCTATTGCATCTATGTTGAGGAGTAATATTTAATAATTATTATATTATATTATAATTATTATATTTAATAATTTAACACACAGTTTTTTAGCTTTAAATCTAACTGACAAAAAGCAGTTATTAGTTATGTGATTTAGTTATTTAGAAATCTTCACTAAAGTGGCTTTTTACTTACTTTTATTAAGAATGTTTCAGTAAACAATGTAGGTGTTGGTTATAGTTATTACAATAGTTTTATTATATTGGTCAATATAAATGGAAATTATAAAAATGTAATTGTTAATTTAGTATGAATCGGCTTGGCTATAATAGTTGAAATGATTCTCATGACTGAAAGAACAAATCCATAAAATAATCAAGGTCATATAGAAATATAGAATATCACGTAAAGGCAGGAAATATCAAGATAATTGCTTTAGCTATATCAAGCAGTCAGAAAAGCCAACCAGGGATTTCCACGATTCTGCAGAATCTGTTTTTGTCAATCATATTGCAGAATCCTGAAAAATCAGTCCTCAAGCAGGTTATAAGCCACTGAGGGGCTAAATATACATATCACCCCCTTCAATTTGGTGGATATAATAATTATGCAGCACTAGTGGATGGATCTTTTTTACTTTGCCATTTACTGGAATTTGCATACGGCTTTGTTTGGAAGCGTGGAGGCAAACGTGCCCTCAACGTGGGCTGATGTATGAGGTTCCTATGAGATAGAAGAATCAATAATGGATGCTTTGTCACTGTTGCTTATGTGCCGGCTACAGCTGTGAATGACAATCAATAGCTGCACAAAAAGATCTGTGATTTATTCGCTGTCAGTCCTGCAACCTTATTATTTCTTTCTGTATTGTGAGCGTGCACATTTTTGTAATGTTAATAGGTTGCTTTTTAATGAGTAGATATGAGAGTGTTTGAGTTGTCAGGATGCTAAATGGATTTACTCAGACTTCCCTGAGATTCACTTGGTAAGGGGAATATTCTGGCACAGCAGCTTTGTCAGTATCAGACTTACTCTGTCAATTCAAAATAAAGAGTGTTTGTTGGGTTGCTCACACTTTGATTAAAACGATCTCTGGTGTGATTGCTCTGTTAGTGCGGTTCATTTGAATAAGTGTGAACGCTGCCATCTGAACCCATGAGTCTTGGTCCGGTTTCGAACTAACTCTGGTCCGGTTGGAGTGAAATATGAATGCAACACAGACCTAAGACATGTAAACGAACCAAAAACAGGACATGATGTCACAAGATGCAACCTTTAAAAGGACAGAACGCTGAAGCATACCTTTTTTTTTCTCGTCATAGACGTGATGTTGCCATCATAGTTCTGATACAGGCATCAGAACCGCGTTGCCTCGCAGGAGATTTTCGTTTGTGTGTGTGATGGAGGGATTCCTGCTGCTATTTGTACTCCTTTGCACATTTTATAAGCTCTTGAGTTCTCATCTGGTCAAAAATCCATCATATATAGGCTATGCACATACAATATGCACATTTATCCTTGGACACAATATTGTTTTGGATGTTCAGTAAGTTCCGTCACGAAATACACATAATAAAAGCCGACCAATCAGGTTGTGAACATATCCCTATGGCTTTAGGTTCGGTATCTTTTCTTTCGGTGGTAGCCCTCAATCGGGTCATGGGCTCTATACGACCCCAATCGACTTTTACTTAATAAAAAAAAGGTTCCCTTCATCTCAGTGGAATAAGATTTTGTGACTTTTCATACATTATCTATCTATACACACACAAAAACTGGGCTTGATCCGGTTGTTCTGAAGGTATGTAAAAAAATGTTTACACTTCTGGTCTTCGGGGTCATTGAAATGAATGGGAAATGTGAAAAAAAAAAAAAAAAAAAAAACTAAATATATTTTCTTCATGTGTCAAAAAAAAAAAAAATCCGGCATAAATCTGAAAATTTTTACACAGAAATGAAGGCCTAGTACTAGAGCATAAATGCAATGCATCAAAAAAAAACAAGGATACAAAAGTACTTTATGTCTCCAAAAACACAGCATTAATGAATAGATGAGAAGTAAACATAAAAAAAATGATGATTTGTATGATTAAAAATCTATATTTTTTTGTACAATTAATCAATTGTTGGGGTCGTATAGACCCCGAAGCCCAGAAGTGTAAACATTAAACGAAGACCATTTGAAGGTTAAAATGCCAATATGAACGCTAAGTGGACCAGGACTAGGCCTAAATGTTGTTGTTGTTTTTTTTGGTCCAGGACCAAACGAAACAAGAGCGAACCGAACTACAAGTGTGAACACACCCTTACTCACTCTATTGTTCCAAACCCATATGAATTTCTTCCTTCCATGGAACACAAAAAGTGAAATTTGAAGACTGTATTGCCTATTATTTTCCATGGAATCACGATGAATAGGGTCTGGAGTGTTCAAGTTTAAGAAAAGACACAAAAGCACCATAAAAGTTCTCCTTATGACTTGTGCGCTATATTCAGTCTAATGATGAAGTCATATAATAGCTTTATGTGGCAAACAGAAATTAAGCCATTATTCACTGTTAATATCCTCCAATATGTTATTAGTCACCATGAAATAAAATTTGCAATTCTTATTTTATGGTAGCTTGCAGGATATTTTATAACTAAATTATCCGTGCATATATTTTTTTTTATTTTAAATTGTTGTTGCAACATCTCTTCTGTTTTCTGATGATGTGTTTACTGGCATCAGGATGCATGGGACAATCTGTCACTCACATCGACAATAGTAAATCAGAACGATCCAACCATCCAATTAATTCATGATAGACAAAATAATGTCCCGCCATAGTTCATTTTTTTTTTCTTACTCGAGAAGCCATAAAGAAAACATAACTTCTGTCTCATGGCGACTTTAAGCGCTTTGAGGGATTTTAACTTGCAAATTGAATCAGACAAATCTTTTGAAGGTTCAGCCCCCTTTCATTGCAATCGCATGGAAAAAAATGGACCTTCTTCAAAATTTCTTCTTTTGTATCCCACAGGTTCAGAACAACATAAGGGTGAGTAAATCATCACATAAATATCATTTTTATTAGTATTATAGGCCCATAGATATACACACTAGACGTCACCTTGGGGTTCTAAGCATGCGTCAAAACCTCCGCCATCTTGAAACAGGGGTGTTGTCACAGGAAGTAATTAGGTTACGCTGCTATCTCTGCCTTTACTTCGAATTAATTGATGATGGCGGACTTTTGTGCTGTGTATGATGTTCACACGAATGAAAACTGAACTAGGAAGAAAGTTTTTTTTTTTTTTTTTTTCAGAATTAATGATGTCTACCCATTGTAACGAACCAAAAAACGAGAAA